TATGAAATGGACAAAGTCCGACAATTATTTAAAGACATTTTTATGTTAATACATTCTTTTTATAGATACAAATATTTAAGTAAATGCTCTGTTTATATTAAACAATATCAGGGCGGTAAATGTTGTTTAATACTGTTTATTCAACACAGAGCATTTGCTTAAATATTTCTATCTATAAAAAGAATATATATATATATATATATATATATATACATATATATATATATATATGTGTGTGTGTGTGTGTGTGTGTGTGTGTGTGTGTGTGTGATTGAATTTGACAGAAGAAAATTAAGATTTTGCGTAAAAAATAATGTTTTGCAGATTCTGTACGTAGACTAAAAATCATGGTCACTTTTATTTACAAAAAATATATAAATGCGGGACTTTTTGACATTTGAACTAAAATTATGAATAGAAGGCAGTAAACGAGACATAAAAATTATACGAAAATATTTAAACTCAAATTTTAACAAAAGAACTTATATTTGTTGTGTTGTATGAATACATTACACTTGATTGTTTTATTTCAATGCATTTTTGTTTGTAGGGAGAGAAGATATGTCCCCACACGGACACTTTACATCGGCCAGTAAGTCTTTTATCTCTAGTCACACTATATATATATATATATATATATATATATATATATTTCATTAAATATAATAAACAAAGAAAATTAAGATTTAACGTGAAAATAGTGTTCTGCATTTTCTGTAGGTGTAAAAAAGTCATGGTCATTATTTACAAAAAATATATAAATGCAAGACTTCTTGATATTTGAACAAAATTATGGATAATATAGTTGATTGTTTTATTTCAATGCATTTTCGTTTGTAGGTAGAGAAGATATGCCTCCACACGGACACTTTACATCGGCCAGTAAGTCCTTTATTTATCACACTAGATATTGTATATATATATATATATATATATATATATATATATATATATATATATATATATATATATATATAATTAATTAATTAAATGTGAGAGAAAAAAGAAAATTAAGATTTCACGTAAAAATAATGTTTTGCCCGTTCTGTTCGTGTAGAAAACATCATTGTTACTATTTACCAAAAATATATAAATGCAGGACTTCTTGATATTTGAACTAAAATTATGGATAGAAAGCAATACTTCAAGACAGAAAAATATACGAAAATATTTAACCTCAAGTTGTGTTGTATAAATGCAATATACTTGATTGTTTTATTTCAATGCATTTTCGTTTGTAGGTAGCGAAGATATGCCTCCACACGGACACTTTGCATCAGCCAGTAAGTGGGTTATCTATTTATACCCGACAACAACTCAGATATAAGTATTAATAATAATAATAATAATAATAATAATAATAATATATATATATATATATATATATATATATATATATATATATAATTAAATATGACAAAGAAAATTAAGATTTCACGGAAAAATAATGTTTTGTATTTTCTGTATGTGTAGAAAAATCCTGGTCACTATTTACGAAAAAAATATTTAAATGCAGGACTTCTTGACATTTTGAATAATAGTTTTACTGAGCACGAAACACCTGACAGCTAATCCACAAACGAAGGTATTTCTTTGACGATTGTTAACAAAAGACTGGCTAAGTAGATTAGATAAGATGTATTACAAGAGCTTCGCTTCACCTAGGTACCTGAAATTGTCCCTTTGTGGCAAGTGATGTCAGCACCTGACAAACTTTCGGATTTGGAATGTTTTCGGATTTGAAATTTCGGATAAGGGATATTCAACCTATAATAAAATTATTTAACCTCAAATTTTAACAAAAGGACTTTATTTGTTGTGTTGTATAAATGCATTACCCTTGATTGTTTTATTTCAATACATTTTTGTTTGTAGGTAGAGAAGACATGCCTCCATCCGGACACTTTGCATCAGCCAGTAAGTGTGTTATCTATTTATACCCGAGCTTACACAAAATATAAGTATTATTATTTATATAATTTAGAAATATATCATATGTATATGATTTCAATATAAACTTTAAGGAATAGAGAGTCCCACTTGACTTTTTGGGCAAGTTTTTATATACGATCTCTCGCTCGTTACATATACAAAATTAAGTAAATAATCTCTGTACTATATAAGTTTTAAGCATACACACACACACACACACACAGACACAGACACACACACACATATATATATATATATATGTAAGCGATCTGGGTGGATCCTAGTAATATTAATTATTAGACTGATCCACAGGGAGCTCGATGTATTTATTATAACAGAGCATATGTATTTTTTTACAGCAAAAAAACAAACATTGCATCAACGTGTATATAGTCTATTTCAAGCCGTTCTATACGCAACGGTCCGGTCATCAGCCCCTATTTCTTTGCTTATGATAACTACGTATAGACCGGCTTGAAATAGACTATATACACGTTGATGCAATGATTGTTTATGCTGTTATATATATATATATATATATATATATATATATATATATACAAACACACACACATACACACACACACACACACACACACATATATATATATATATATTAATCACCACAGAAATCCTTCCCTGACCCCATTAGAATGTCTGTCGCTCAACTTCCAGAGAGCACCTCTCTGCGGCTGCTCGGTGTCACGTCGACTGCTCACCTGAGATGGAACAAATACATTGAGTCAATTGCTTCATCCACCGCAAGGAAAGTTGGCTCCCTGTGCCGCGCCAGGAATTTTTTTTCCCCGGAATCGATCCTTCAGATCTACAAATCAACAATTCGCCCTTGCATGGAGTATTGCTGCCATATACGGTCTGTAGGCCCCTTCTGTTTGCCTCGAGGTTCTTGATAAGTTCCAGAGGCGGATATGCAATGTAATTGGCCCTGATCTGGCATCTCGTCTACAGCCACTTTCTCACAGACGCACCGTCGCCTCTCTCTGTCTTTTTTACAAGTACTTCCATGGTAATTGCTCCGAAGATCTGCATTCGCTGGTTCCCAGACTTCATGAATTCAAGCGCCCTACGAGGCTGGAATCCTGCTCTCACTCTTTCACTGTGAAACTATTAAATGTTACCGTCTCTTCTACTCCAATAGCTTCATATCTCACACATCTCGCCTGTGGAACTCCCTTCCCTATTCCTGTTTCCCTGAGAGCTATAATCTCCAACTATTCAAATGTAATGTCAATTGACATCACCTGTTGCCTTGATCTATCCACTATCCTTCTCCTCATCCTTTCCTCTATCACTCCTATCTGATCTTGCCCCAAATCTTCTGTAACCTCTTGCGTCCTAGTGGCTTCCCGCCTTGCTTGGGGTGAAACGCTTAATATATATATATATATATATATATATATATACTTTTTTCTAATAAATAAATAACAGCATTGTGTGTTTTGGTTAATTGTAGATTGAAAAGAGTACTAGTCATCAAATATAATAGTAAAATTATTAAATCTCAGATTTTCCCCAAAAAACATTGCGTAAATGCTTTATACTTGATTGTTTTATTTCAAAGAATTTTTTTTTTGTAGGTAGAGAAGATATGCCTCCATCCGGACACTTTACATCGGGATGTAAGTCTTTGATCTTTTACCACCCGACCGAAATCAGATACAATATCAATAATTATAAAATTAAAAAATATATAGGAATATATATTGCACGTATTCATATAAAATTTCAATATAAATTTTAATGAATGCAATGTCACACTAAATATTGTGTGCATGTTTTTGATACGATCTCTTGTTAGATTAATCAATGTTTAGTAAAGGACACTCGGTATAGAACGTTATACGAGGTTGAACTGAAAAGGTCATGGGTTCACTATAAAAGAGTGGTTCTAGAGCTGTAATATCTTACATTCTTACATTATACGATAGGTGGACTGTTTTTCTTTAAATTAAATTATTCGCTCTGACTTATCATTGAGCTCTCAGCATTTCATCCTCCTTGGGATTATCCATACGGATTACCAAGATTTTCGTTACTTAAATGTATATATATATATATATATATATTTGTGTATTTGTGTATGTGTGTGTGTGTATGATAAAAATATAGTTTTAAGATATGCTATATTTATGGTTTAAGGTGCTTACTGTCAGAGATATAGCATTTCTAAATATAAAAGTTGTCATTGAGGACAACACCTCCGGCGCCAGTCTGTTTCATGCTTGGCCTGATGCTTAATTTTAAGCTTGAAATAGGCTGTCGCTACTGGGTGTTGCCTTCAATGTCTATTTTATATATATATATATATATATATATATATATATATATATATATATATATATATATATATATATATATATATAAGTGCACTTTTTATATTTATATTTACATACGGTCTATCTCTGATATTAAGCACTTTATCCCTATAAATATAGCACACCTTAAAAACTATATTTCTTCATACATACATGCATACATGTATACATGCTAGAACAAAGCTACAAGACATCGTGGCCGAGGGCTTGAGCGAGCTGGCCTTGTTCAAATTGTTGATCACGCTAGATAACACGCACCCTCCCAGAAACTGTAATAAAGGTCTGCTCAGCATAGGTGCGGTATAAACCACAGGTTGGCTCTGTGGGTGTTGAACAAATACACATGTGCCTGAACGAGCGTCTGCAATAGGGATTGGTTAGTCGCCCTAGTAGATGGGTATGCTTGAATACTCGAGTGGCCAGGTATTATTATATATTCTATATTTATCTATATTATATATATGTGTGTGTGTGTGTGTTTGCGCGTGTGTGTTAAAACAAAACTTATCTCAAATGTAAGTAAATTGTCATTTGTATTTATTTATCTTTCAGTAAGAGAAAATATGCCATCACATGGACGATTTACATTGCTGAGTAAGTCTTTGAATGTTACATTCTCTAACACACACACACACACATACACACAAGCACGCACGCCCGCACGCGAACGCACACACACACACACACACACACACACACACAGACTTCTACGATTCCTTACATTCAGCTTAGACTCTTATCTATCTATCTATCTATCTATCTATCTATCTATCTATCTATCTATTGAACCAGCGATCAATCCATGTATGTATATATCTATTCATCTCAAGTTATTCTATCTATCTATCTATCTATCTATCTATCTATCTATCTATATATATATATATATATATATATATATATATATATATATATATATATCTATTGAACCAAGCGATCAATCCATGTATGTATATATCTATTCATCTCAAGTTATTCTATCTATCTATCTATCTATCTATCTATCTATCTATCTATCTATCTATCTATCTATCTATCTCTCTCTCTCTATATATATATATATATATATCAGGTCATTCATCCCTATCTATCTATCTATCTATCTATCTATCTATCTATCTATCTATATATATATATATATATATATATATATGTGTGTGTGTATATATATATATATATATATATATATATATATATATATATATATATATATCAGGTTATTCATCCCATCTATCTATCTATCTATCTATCTATGTATCTATCTATCTATCTATCTATCTATCTATCTATCTATCTATCTATCGTACTGTCTATCTATCTTTGTGTGTGATCGTGTGTGTGTGCGCGCACACGCGCACGCGCGGGCCCGCGTGTGTGTGCTAAAAAAACTGATTTCAAATGTAACAAGACTGTCATTTGCATTTATTTATCTTTCAGGTCGGGAAAATATGCCTCCACTTGGACGATTTAAATCGTTGAGTAAGTCTGTTTACGTTACATCTTCTAACGCACAAAAACTCACACAAACACACGCATGGATTCCACTGCAGACAATACAATATTACACACACACACGCACGCACGCACGTACGCACAATTCACTTTTCTACGGGTCCTTTCTTTGAAATTTGCTTCCCGTCCAGAATTCTGCTTATCGGGGCCGGTTTCGCCCTGGAATACCAACATGATTTTAGAAATCTTACCTTTCGAAAGATTAAGTAATTCATTAGTTTTAGTGACTGAAACTACAGACGTCTGCGCCCGTCAAAATTTGTTATCTTCGGAGGTCACATTTTTAAAATTATTTAAACACAAATGTCTTCCTTCAAGGAAGTTAATGGAAGACATTTGTGCCACTCACACACAGAAGAGAGAATGTTTAATATCGAGAATGTTTAACATCAAAAAATATAATGAAAACAAAGCATTATATATTAGAAAAAAAACCAAACCACGTTACAACCAAAAATGTTTATGGTTTCTCTCTTCTTTTTAATATAAGTTCATAAATTGTCAAAATTCTCTGATAGTTGGTACAGTGTAACCCGGATATAAGAGAGATTTTCTCTGATCCCAAATTAGAGCCATACTTACCTAAACAAAATAGACCAAACTCGGATATAAGAGAAACCCGGATATAAGAGTCTTCTTCTCCGGTCCCGACAACTCTCTTACATCCGGGTTACACTGTACAATATTTTCCGAAGAGGTTTTTTCTCATTTTTTGATAGTCCTCTTCGGATTGTGATGTTGTCGTCGAAGCAATCATGGCTTCGTCTTGCGTAGAAGTCAAACCACACCTTTAAGGTTTTCTAAGGAAGGTGAATTACATTTGTCACTAAAGAAGCATTTTTTTTCAGATAGCCTCCGCATTCTAGATTTTCAACGAATTCCACTCTTGTGTCCGTATTTTGGAAGAAACTGTCCCTGGTGGTCTTCCTGGGATTGGGGGGGGGGCGACATATCTCCTTAATTTTGGATAGGGGTCTAAACGACGGTTCAACAATATGGAATGATGGGAGCTAAAAAAAAGTTTTCCGTTGGATTTTCCTCCTCCTAGGGATATGACTGACCGAGTGTAGAGATCTGCTGTTCATTTGAAGGGTGGACTAGAGATTCTGGCCTTGAACTGACTAAAAGGCCTGGCAGTTGCACATTTTGTTGAAGTTTTAATTTAGTATAAATTGCTGTAGCCTATTTTCTGCTATATGTGTGGAGATGTCTAGGAAATTAAGGCGATGTTTTTGGCAATATTCTTAAAGTACAAATGACAGGATAAAGAGACATTTAAATAAATTGCCAGCTAAGCAAGAAAGAAATGATATAAGTTAACATTGGCGTATCAGCATTTGCCTTCTAGTGTCGGTCGGCGTCTGACTCTGCAGGTCGGATACCACATATCAGGATTCAGTATAAACCCAGTAGGAAAGATTCAGAATATTTATAGGAAGGTCTTTTATTTGTCAATAGCACAACTGGAATGTAGCATTCTTTATTATTGCTAGCGTGAATAGTTTTCTTTATCCCTTTATGGCGTCTTTTGGAAATTAAACGGCGAAATTTAAACCATAATTCTAAACTATGAAAAAGAGTATGAGAGTAGAATGAATTAGAACCCCCCACACTCTCTCTATCTATCTATCTATCTATCTATCTATATATATATATATATATATATATATATATATATATATATATATATATATATATATATATATATATATATATCCAAATGCAATGAGAACGAATCAAATATAAATTCAAACGTTCATAACATTAATTTAAATATAGAAATCAATACAAAAGATATCGATAGGATATTACATTCAGTAACATATATGTTCGAATTTAAATCATATAATAAAGTATATATATATATATATATATATATATATATATATATATATATATATGTATATATATATATATATATATATATATATATATATATATATATATATATATATATATATATATATATATATATATATATATATATATATATATATATATATATATATATCAGGGAGTTCATATTTTCTACGAAATTTCTAGAATATTCAGGCCGGTAAATGTAATTAATATTGTTTAATTAAAAGGAAGTATTTACTTAAATAATTTATATCTATAAAAGTAAAGCATAAACAGAAAATATATTAAATAATTTTCGGACTTCATCTATTTCATAATACATGCATATATATATATATATATATATATATATATATATATATATATATATATATATATATATATATATATTAGCAATCATCTTTTTACCAGACGTAATTTGCCGTTCTGTCACGTCTCCACCCAAGATCAACTCAATTAGGATTTACATAAAAAGAATATCTGTTGTGACTTTTCGATGTCAGTTAACTATATTTTTGTTAATGCTTCAGATACACGCACACGCACACACACATCTATCTATCTATCTATCTATCTATCTATATATATATATATATATATATATATATATATTCATATAGAATGAATTTGTCACTTAGCTGATTGATGTTATCTTCAGCATCCCTGACTCTAAAGTTTAGTAGACACACCTTCAAAACCTTGTATTCTATTTTTTGTGTCCTATATATATATATATATATATATATATATATATATATATATATATATATATGAATATTTCTCAGAGTTAAACTGTAGAAGAGACAATATTTATAAATATGACAATAGGAAAACTGTTTTTGTTATTATTAGTTACGTTTTTAATTAAATTCATTTCGTTTCTTCCTTTGAGAAAATCTACATTGGACGAAACGCGTCAGCAATAACTACAGTTTTTCTATTGTCATTGATATATATATATATATATATATATATATATATATATATATATATATATATATATATATATATAAATATAAGAATAAATATAGTTTTAAGGTGTACTATATTTATGGAATAAAGTGCTAATATCAGAGATAGAGCGTATCTAAACATAAAAGTGAACATTGAAGTCAACACTCGGAGGTGACAGACTGTTACATGCTTGACCCATTTATGAGGCCACTTGATAATATATATATTATAGATAATTATGTGTTCATAAATTCAGCCTGTTGCCCAATGAGGATTACAGCCGTATCAATCGGCGTTTTATCCTTCTGGAATATTGAGTCAACATGAGGAACTGTCTGTATAACAGGATGGCCCAAATCAGTCAAAATAACACTTGGCCTTAACTTTGCCAGGTAGAAAAAATAAAGGGTCAAGAGATTTCGTGATCTATCTATCTATCTATCTATCTATCTATCTATCTATCTATCTATCTATCTATCTATCCCAGGGTTCACGTCTCTCTCTCTCTCTCTCTCTCTCTCATGGTATCTATCTATCTATCTATCTATGTACGTATATATTACACCTAATTTAATTATATTTATCCCTCTCGTCTATTACTGAGTGGACATGTTAGTAGCAGAAATTCTCTCATACTTAATATGCGCTAAATTATATAATTTTACTTATATATTTTGCTAATATTAATGCCTAGTATTATTATTTCATTATATATATATATATATATATATATATGTGTGTGTGTGTGTGTGTGTGTGTGTGTGTGTGTGCGTGCGTGAACGAGATAGAGAGAGATTTATAGATCTTATGAAAAAGACTTGTCTCAAAGTTAACTGAATTGTTATACATGTTCTTGTCTTTTAGGTGAAGAAACTCTGCCTTCACGCGGTGTCTTTGCATCATTGAGTACGTCTTTTTACCTTTTTATACTTAACTACATACAAACAAACGTACACACATAGATATTAGTAGACAATATTACATACGTTTAGATATGTCCACGCAGACATTTTGTGCATACGTTCATAATTAGCAAGACGAGTGGAACATATAATTACATATAATATATTTACAGTTCCTCGGCATAGCACGTCAGGCTATATGACTGTTCAGTGTAGGATACATGTTCGATTCCTGTCGGAAGACACATATTTTCTATGGAAATTTCTCGGACATTCAGGCCGGTAAATGTTGTTAATACTGTTTATTAAAAACAGAGCATTTACTGAAATATTTGTATCTATAAAAATAACGTATACACAGTAGATAACTTAAAATAATTGTCGGACTTTGTCCATTTCGTAGTGTGTGACGTCATTTGTATACGTTTGGATACGCCTCGAGCAGACATGAAGGTTCGAGGGAAATCATGGAAAATTGTAATTAAAAAATGTCTGCTTTTTGTAAACAGCATCAACTCGGTTTTTTTCCTTTATATGAATTCTTAAGCGTCTCTAGTTTCTTTGCATTGTTTTACTCAAATTAAATGAGTGACTAAGGCTAGCAACAGTTAGATGAAATATTTCCATGAAATCAATCATGGAACTACACATTTTTCTTTTAATTATTCAACTACCAACCGAGACAAGCATCCTAACTTTGATGGAAAAATGTAGTTTAAAAACAATAAAATCGACCTTGTTAGCCAGACGCTCCTTCATAGCTTAGTGGTATAGCACGTTAGATCTGATGACGGTTCCGTGTAGGGAACAGGTTCGATTCCCGTCGGAGGATATATATTTTCGATGAAATTTCTAGGACACTCAGGACGGTAAATATAATCAATACCGTTTATTATGAAAAGAGCATTTACTTAAATATTTGGATCTATAAAAATAACGTATAAACAGAAGATAACTTAAAATAATTGTCGAACTAAGTCCATTTCATAACATATGATGTCATTTGTTTACGTTAAGATACTCTTCGAGCAGATATGAGCGTTCGAGAAAGATCATGGAAAATTTGTTTGTTCAAATGCAGTAATTTAAACTTTGCTTACAAGCCGGTCCACTGTAGCTGAGTGGTATAGCACGTTAGATCTAATGTAGGACACAGGTTCGATTCTTGCCGGTGGACACATTTTCTATGAAATTTATCGGACGTTCAGGCCGGTAAATATAATTAATACTGTTTATTACAAACAGAACCTTTACTTAAATAATTGTATCTATAAAAATAACGTTTACACAGTGTATATATATATATATATATATATATATATATATATAACCATTTAAACGTTTTGTAGTGGATATTAGTATTTGAGTAGTGTTATAATGCACAGCAAAAGTTCGTCGAAGTTGTGGGAAACACCTAACCTAATAGTCTCCCAGTAACTCAGAGGGTAATAGACAGAGAGGGGAAAGAGACGAGAGGTAACAAAGATAGCACAACCACGGAAACCACTAAATGATAACGGGATCGACTTCACAAGACCACCGTGGCTTGTTGGTATTCCCGTTGCTTTTATTGGCTTGAGACATCTTACAAAGACCCGAATCTTGACCAGTTGCAGAGGCCCGTGTCTAGACGTGTCAAGCTCTCCCGCTGCTAAAGAGGAAAACCCGAATGTAATTGGTGACAGACATGTCCGAGCGCGATTCGGGGCCTCTTTTGCGTCTGTATCGACGCGCGTTCGCCACTAGTAGACGCTCCTTTTATTTATTGAAATATGACGAGAGGAATTTCTCTTGAAGGCACTATTCAACCTTGACTGATCAGCTAATTTCTCTATAGGGCTGTCGGTTGAGAGAGCAAGCTGGATCTAACTACAGTTCCATCCTCCCATGGGAATTCTGTCAGAGAGTTAATATTTATCTTCAATAAGATTTCTCAAATATTCAATAATATTATTTAGTAAATAAACGGGGCGTCAACTTAAATACCAGTATCCACTTAGAAACTGCTAAAATCTGCCAGTTTAATAAATAAAAATCCATTCCGTCCTCACACACACACACACACACACACACACACACACACACATATATATATATATATATATATATATATATATATATATATATATATATATTATGGTAGGCTGGATAAATTGTCGTCTAAATTACGGGAAAATGAAAATAAAACTGACAACTCATTTTAACAGATATATTTACCAAAATTACACATAAATATCTTGAAATAGTAAAGAGTAAACTTATTTAATAAAATCTTCATTGGCTTCAACCGTGGCCTCCAGACAACTTCGAAATCTCCTGCAACTCATTTCGACGTTCTCCTTGTTTAATTTGGTGAATTCTTGCCTTCAGTTCATCTTTGGTGTCACAAGGAGTTTTGTTGGTTTCTCACTCAACTGCATACCCCCTCCCCACACACACATAATAATCAAAAGGGTTTGCAGTGTGGGGAGTTAGGTGGCTAGATGTAAGGGGTGATGTGGTCGCAGAATTGGTCTGATAGCCATGACTGTGTTTTGTTTGTGTGATATAGTGCAAAGTTCCTTTTGCCAGACATAGTTTTTTGGGGTTTTTTTTATTTAAATTTATGCAAGTTTCCCCAATATATATTGAGGAGCAGTTGTGATAGTTTATTTTATATAAACCCGCTTCAGAATTATTACTGTTATGGGGAATTTTTGTTCTGATTCTGTTCATTATAGTTTTGGATATAGCTGAAATTATTTTGTTATTCTTAAGAATGGATAAATTGTTTTGGATAGTAGATGTTTTATTCCCTCGGCTGTAACAGGATAAAATCTGAACTAATTATAGGATTCTATTTCAGAGCACTAAGAATCTACAGCCCCTGATACTTACCCAAAGAAGAAATATACACAGAAAATTCTTTCAAAAACCTAGAATATTTTCATTATTTCACCCACAATGCTAAGAGAAGGCATACAAAATATATAACCGCTAAAAAAATTTAAAAAATGGTATCATTAAAAACAATAACAATGACTATAACTAGATAAAAAACAAACATATTATACTACCTACTAACTCACTAACATCTACTATTTAAAACTATTTATTCATTCTTAACAATATCAAAAAAATAATTACAACTACAACCAACATTTCTATGAATATAATCAGAACAAAAATACCCACAATAATTGTGAAGCATATATTTATTGTCATCCACAAACAGATGGTTTCGCTGTATCACAGCTCATCAGTGTGACTAAACATCCGATTACCTCAAGCCGGGATCGAAACCCGACTGATTAGACAACAGTCGGAGATTTTACCCCTGAGTCATCAGCGCCCGCTTGTGAGGAAGGCGTACTTATTCTTCAAATAAACACGCCAATAACCGAGAGGGCTCAATTCGTAGAAGAGCTATGCAGTATTAGCAGTAGTAGTCATTACTCTCAAGAATGCTCGACCGGAATTAAATTTTCCAGTATATATATATATATATATATATATATTCTAGGAACATTCGCCGTAAATATTTTTGCCGTAGATTAGCATTTCTTTTTGTGGTACGCTGGTTGCCAACTAAGGCTATAGGACCCAGTCCTAGCTGGGTGGGGAGGTGGATTTATACCTTTCCCAAGTGGTGGGGAAGAGATGGATTTATACCTTTCTCAATTCCGCATTCGCCGTAAATATTTTTATCATAGGAAAACTCGCCTCGGGAATTTTCGCCGTAGAAAACTTTACCGATGGGGATTTTTGCTCTAAGAAAATTTCGCCGCAATTTTTTTTTTTAATATGGGTGGTACTTTGTTATCAAGTATAACTGGCTCACATTAATGTTACTTTGATTTAAACATTTTAATAAGCGAAGTTATACTAACATGATTTGTGGAAACTAATTGCGTATTTGAAAAAAGAAGAGACATTAGCAAAAAAGAAATGTGTGATTTAGATCGAAGAGATGCAGTACAAATGAAGAAAATATATATAGATATCAATGCAAGACTTCATTACAGTCCAGCACAAAAAATTTTTTAAAAAATACATTATTTACGAAGCAGTGCTTAGAATTTGCACACATTTTAAATTATTTCTTTGTTAATTTAATATATTTTTAATCTTTCATTTTTTAAATGAATGTTTACTTTTTAATTTCTTTTCTGATGTTTGACCCTGTAAAAAAGACATCCATATATACTTGATAACAAGGTACCACTTCGCATATTAAATTGAACATTATTTCGAAAGGGACCATCAAGATAAGGGTATCGAAAAAAATGCGGCGAAGCCATATTCAAGCAAAAATCCTAAACGGCGAAGTTTACCACAGCGAAAATTCCTGAGGCGAGTTTTTATATATATATATATATATATATATATATATATATATATAGTTGAAGTAGGTTTATCTGTAACCATAGAAACGTGATTTTAGCTGTGTCTTTAAAACCCAGTAATTTTAAAAGTTACTCCAAAATTCGCTTGAGGATGAAATGGAACTAATGTTTTTAATTTACTTGCAAAATTAAATTAGTGGCCTTTAGCTTCCATTTTTGAAACATGGTTAGAACTGTGTAGCGGAAAATAACCATATTTTAAATCAATTAATTTATAATATTAATGCTCTGTAAATTTACATCGAGCACTATTTTGTAAAAATAAAAATACCTATAAGAAACAGCGGATTATATATCTTACTGTCTTTCTTTTTATTTATTTATTTATATATATATATATATATATATATATATAATTATTTTATAAAAAATTTATAACATAATATGTTATAAAATCACTACAAAAATAGCCATTTTGTTTCAACACACTCTGTGTCTTATCAAGTGATGGTGTTGAAAAGAAAACTTTTTTCTTTTCAACACCATCACTTGATAAGACACAGAGTGTGTTGAAACAAAATGGCTATTTTTGTAGTGATTTTATAACATACTTATGTTATAAATTTTTTTATAAAAATAATTATATCTGCTCTACTTTGTATTGAGCACTCTTTTAAGAATAGTAATTGTTGGTTATTGGAATTCATTCCGTGTATACCAATTATATACTTTGATATATATATATATATATAAATACAAATATAGATAACTATACTCGTTTCGAAAAACCCTCGAATCTTTGATTTGCCAATAATCAAATCAATCTCGAGGGAAAAAAAGGTTTTTTAAAAAGAAAGAGCTAGAAACATGAAAGTCTGTCGAAAAAAATCGCACAGATACAGGTTTGAAGCCTAAAGAAAAAAAACCGACAAAAAAAAACAACTAACCAACAAAAGAGCTCAATACAACCGTAGAGCAGACCTAGATAAACCTAGTGAGCCAGACAAACCTACCCAGGTTTCACCTAAACGGATCGGCAGGGAAGGCCGGCTTTCCCTGACGATCCGTTTAGGTGAAACCTGGGTAGGTTTGTCTGGCTCACTAGGTTTATCTATCTATCTATCTATCTATCTATCTATCTATCTATCTATCTATGTGTGTGTGTGTGTGTGTGTATGTGTATGTGTATGTATCTATATCTATATATATCTATATATATATATATATATTTCGTATTCGTAACATTCGCCGTAATGACAAGCGGAAAAAAATTCTTAGTCGATGCGTTTCGTCTTCTGGGGGTTTTAGCAAGGAACGCGTCAGCTAAGAATTGTTTTTCCTCTTGTCTTTATTCATTTGCCCCTTTACAGATATACTCCATCTGAAAATAATTTACACGCGTGCACACACACGCATATATATATATATATATATATATATATATATATATATATATATATATATATATAATAATTTATTTAGATTATAGTTTAATTTTTTATTCTGGGAAATTGTATTTACATTTTGTTTTTATTTGTCATTCAGGTAGGGGAGAATTTCTGCCAGCCCGTGGACGTTTCACAGCACTGAGTATGTCCGTTCTATGTTTATATATCTATGCATGTATCTATCGATCTTTCTATATTTTTTATAATTTCCTTAAATCTGCTCTATTTTTTCAGATGATTCAAATCATATTACTTTATTATCATTTAGGTAACGAAAATTTGTCCCCACAAGGAAGATTTACGTTGATGAGTAAGTCGTTTTCTGTTCATATACATACATACATATATATATATATATATATATATATATATATATATATATATATATATATATATATATATATAAGTATGATTGTATACGGAATAAATTCAATGACCAACAATTACTATACTTAAAAGAGTGCTCAATACAGAGTAGAGCAGATATAATTATTCATTCAAAAATTATGACATAATTATGTTATAAAATCACTACAAAAATAGCACTTTTGTTTCAACACCTCCGGTGTCTTATTAATGATGATGTTGAATGTAAAATAAAATTATGGTGTTGAATCTAAAATAAAAGTATGTTATAATTTTTAAATAAATAATTTATATATATATATATATATATATATATATATATATATATATATATGATTTCATTTAAAGAAAAACAGACCTCTTTAAGGCTCCATTTGTATTAATTTATTTCAACACAGAATTTTATTTTTCTCTGAATCTTCAGACATAACTTTCAAAACGTGAAGCGAAAAATGAATTTAAAATTCACATTTTTGACGGGCAGTATTATGCTTATATATTTTGACATAGAAGGCGTTGAGGAATGGTGTGAGAGACATGATCGAGTTTAGAGAGGGAAAGGAGAGTTGGGATTATCCATACGGATTACCAAGATCTTCGTTATATATATATATATATATATATATTATAATTATTTTTTTAAAAATATGTCTCCATCACGACACAGATATTACTTTCTTTCGAAACTGAAGCTGGAATTTTAAAATTTAACTTAAAATTTTAAACTTAAAATTCGGAGCTCGTTTCCATTCTCAAGCGATGCTAAGAATAACTTAGGAAAAAATGAATTTATTCTAGGAGTTATTATTACACAAATTAAACAGCGCATGGATTATATTAGTATAAAAATAAATAAAATAATAAATAATAATTAATAAATAAAGTGATAAATAAGTTAAAATAATAAATAAAAATTCTAACTACCGCACTGATACCACATTGGTTCTTGCTAATGACTGCGATGGTGGAAAATAATTGAAAAAACAAAAAAAAAAATTTGAACTTTGGACAGTTTATCCACAACTTGGAAGACAATACTCAACATCTTTTGCGAAAATACAACAAAAAAATTAAACATACAGATCATGTTGGCCCTTTTTAATCAAACTTGTTTAGATGACTACTTGTTGCCTAAATGTACCATATGCGCACATACACACAAAGACAAACATATACATATATTGATAAATATAGATATTATCCTTCATTGATAGCTCGACTCGGAGTTTCATGCGCACCGCAATCTTCAATTTACGAATTTAAATTTCACAAAAATACATCTGGTTATCGCAATGTTCGCGTAGTTATATATTATACCGGGATTATAGGTTCTTAATTTTAAAAAATTATATTTGGCAATTAAAATTTTATATGTGAAAAAATATTTTATTTTAGAATTGTAAATATTAATTTTTTATTATTAAATAGAGATTACTTGTTAACTTTATATATATATATATATATATATATATATATATATATATATATATATATATATAATAACAATTCGTTACTTACGTTAAAAAATACACCGACATTTATATTAAAAATGAAGCTGGATCAACGTACTTAAGCAGATATTTATTTTTAGGCCTACATGTAGCAATCAATTCATTTCTTTTGTTTCATAAGCTAGGGTTATCAAAGTGTTTTAAGATTTTTCAATTTTTCAACAAGACATAAGTTACATCTATTTCCTTTAACGTTATAAGATTTGGTCCTTACTATAATATCTCAATTGAGGGAAGGTGAGCTGCCATCATTCTTTAACTGCAAGAAATATTCGGAGAGACAAATGCTGTGCTGTTTTTGTAAAAAGTTTCTAAGGATTGAAATTTATTAATATATACTTAATAGTCCTATTACATCGAGCACTATTTTGTTAACACTAGCACTATATGTGCGATATATATATATATATATATATATATATATATATATATATATATATATTGATAAAACAGTATTATTATTTTCCTTTTAACTATCACGCATGATTTCTAACGTCCGTCTTAAATCTATTTTTCACCATCTCCTTCGTAGTAGTATTTCGAGGGAAATAGTGCAAGGTAATAACGTACCTGCTAGTTTTAATGCTTATAATCTCCGAACGTTTTGTAATCTTTAAGTATTGAGTTTTAAATATATTTTTTCTTTGACTTATAGGCCGTGAAAATTTGCCTCTTCCCGGACACTTTATGTCGATGAGTAAGTATTCTCCTTACATACATACCCGCATATATATATATATATATATGTGTGTGTGTGTGTGTGTGTGTGTGTGTGTGTGTGTGTGTGTGTGTGTTTCTATAGATAAAAGACTAAACAATATAACTTCATATATTCATCGGTTATGCAGCCTGATCTCCTTTACAATTTTGTTATAAAGTTAATTGGTGGTATTACTTAGCAGCAGTTAGCTAATATGCCTGTATTACCATAACTAGGAAATGTTTCATTAGTAAGTTGGAGAGACTTGGTCGTGACTACACCGCTTTTCTTATCCTTCTGTTTTGTCTAAAGATATTTTGAGGATATTTTTACTTCTACTGATTTAAAAAGGAGAAATTTTCCTTGCAAGAAAAATCAAAAAAATCCGTATATCCAAAGTATATTTCATCATCGTCACCATCAACAACAGTGGTAGTAGATAGCTTTGTCTATCATCCGGTTTACACGTCCCATCCCCGGTCATTTGAACGGGTGTAGAAGTTTATCCCATGTTCTCTGTTCCGGATTGGGTTCCTGTTGTCTTATAAAGTCTACTTCAACTCTATACTTCTAACGTCTCCGCCGAAACTATGAAATTTTATTCATTTTTCATTTGTTTCCCATCAATAGGAGCAAACAGGTTCGCCCGTCGCCCGGTTCTCACTCCTCCCTGGTCTTTTCAACCGGAGTAAAGGTTTATCCTTTTTTGCAGTTTAGTATTGGGTTTTCGGTTCTTTCTATTGCCTTTTCATTCTCTTTCACTCCAGGAAGCTTCCCGCGTTTTTCGTAGCATTGTTGGTTTGCTTGGCGTGATAAAAGGTAGCAGCAGCCTTTACTAATCAACTTCGGGGCAAAAAAAAACAAAACATTCTGAAATCCTTCTTCCATGACGATTCTGATTATTTTATACACAGGGCATGTCTTACCAGGAAAACGGTTTTAATTTCATCTCATCACCTTATGTGGGATCTCTTCATATTAAGTTTGTCACCCACTGGACACTACTCGAGCAACCTTTTACTCCCTCTGTTATCTTTTCTTCCGGTGAAATAATGGATAGCGGCTCGGATTGAGGAATCGGACAGCCGAGTTTGAATTCCATTACATTCACTTATTTGCTAATATCCTTGGGAAAGGTATGAATCCTCTTCTTCCATATGGGTAAATATCAGGACAGCCCGGGTTCTATAGCCTTGGATGGCAACAGGTCTACCGCAGAAAGAAGTGGCAACCTACTGCGGGAAAAAAATCTGCCTTGTCAGTCATGTATCGAAAGATACATGATCGCCTAAGCGTGTATCCTGCATGGCACATAATTGAGTGACTGGGGTGCTAATAACCTTGGGAAAGGTATGAATCCTCTTCTCCCTTATGGGTAAATAGCGGGACAGACCGGGTTCTATAGCCTTGGATGGCAACTATTTACATTATTCACAACGTTTTGGCCGTTGTACGCTCCGGCCTTCTTTAGATGGTTGGAATGTCGAAATGAACCCTTTATTTTGCTCACTGGGGTAGACTGCTCTAGTTCCACGTGCCATATTTAATGGATGTCAGTGCTCATATTGCAATTTTTGCTGTTATCATAGCATGTTTTTTTACCAGAGCTCATATTGCAATTTTTGTTGTTATTATCACTTTTCTCTGGCACTGGTAAAAAATGGTTGCTGAAGACATTAGGTTTATAATACTCAGAAATTTATACGCTGATGTCCTCAAGGACATATGGCACAGTGGATAAAGGCGTTAGTTAGATTCAGTGACAGGACACAAAGAGTAGTGAGTTCAATACCTGGTTAAGCTAATGGAGAACTTTCAGAGGGGAATTAACAGGAGATAACTGTCTACCCCAGTGAGCGAAATAAAGGATTCAGTTCGGCATTCCAACTACCTGAAGAAAGCCGGAGCGTACAACGGCCGAAACGTTGTGATAAATATGGCGACAAAGATGAGGACAATAGTCCGAATAATGTAAATAGTGTCGTCTAACGGAAATATTTATCTTTCTTTCAGGAAGAGAAGACTTGCTTCCGCGTGGCCGATTTACAGCACTGAGTATGTTTTTCTTACTTTCATTTCTATATTTATTTTGCTTCCATTTACAATTGATTTATTATTCCGAATAACTAATCTCTTTTTTTTTCTTTTTTTTTCTAGGGGGTGACGTAATTCCCAGAGAAGAAAGTTTTTCATCTTTGAGTGAGTCGTTCTTTTTGACTAATTAATACATATTCAGTAGGCAAATTACGTTTAAGACCAGCTTTGTTGACTTGGAATTGTCCCACGGAACACTAGCCTAGTGGATTTAATCATTGGCTCGTGAATTTTGTGGCATGTTCATTATGAGTTCAATCTTTGGTCCGGGCAAACCAAACTTGAACTGAAGTGAGCAAAAAAAAAAAAAAAATGTGCCGTGTCCTTTCAGGACGTAGGCAATCCACCTCCCTCTATCCCTTGCAGCTCTCAACAAGTTTCTTCCCTCTGCCACCTCTCCCAGACCACGTTCTGTCTTCCACTTTCTGAAGCCCGCTAGGTAGGTAATGCGCTGTTTTCCCTTGTCTCTCTTTCCCTCTATTCGATCCGTGAGTATCAGATTCTCCAGTTCAGTATTCTTTTCTTTGTTACCATAGAAATCTTCCTGTCTCGCAATACTCAGCTTTTGGAATACGTCCTTGGCCATCCCAATACGTCTACGGATCTCAGTGTCATATTTACCCTCCTCTGTCAGAACGCTTTCCAGATATTCAAACATCCGAGTCTGCTTGATTCTAGTGTTCCCGACCTCCAAATGGCATTTTGGGTTCATCCTTTTACTTACGGGACAAATACCACCTTCCTCTGCTTCTTTCTGTTTTATGTGTCATGTCCTTACAGGACGTAGGCGATCATGGCTCCCCACCTTCTATCCTTTGCAGCTCTCAACAAGTTCCTTCCCTCTGCTACTTACCCTAGATCACGTTCTGTCAACCACTTGCTTAAACCTACTAGGTATGTCATGCGTTGTTTTCTCTTGTCTCTCTTTCCCTCTATTCGACCCACAAGTATCAAACTCTCCAGGCTATCCTCCATGATTACATCCCCTCTAAGAGCTCATCGTTGCTCACACGCTCGGTCCATGACATCCTTAGCATCCTTCTGTATAACCACATCTCCGTTACCTCGAGTCTCTTCTTCATCTTTGAGGAAATCGTCCAACATTCGCTGCTATAAAAAAGGAGAGGCGTCACGTAACAGTTCAGTATTCTTTTTCCGCGTTACTAAAGAAATCCTCCTGTCTCGCAATACTCAGCTTTTGGAATTCCATTAAAAAATAAATTTCCATACCACTTACTTTATTAAAAATAATTTAAAACAAAAACCTGGTTCATATTTTATATAATGCCTTTTCAAATACCTTATTTGTTTTTAATTATTTGTAATAAAGTAAATGCTAAAGAAATTTAGTTTTAATAAAATAAATTGATATATAAAGATAATTCAATAAAATAAAACTATTTTGAATCTCGATTTACTTTATCAAAAAATAAATTACATTGGGATTGACTTTATTAAAAAAATAATTAAAAACTGCTTTATTTTATTTTGATTTTTCGATTTACTTTCACTCCAGAGAAGGATGCTCAGAAATGGGTGCAAGGTAACTCAACACCGCCAACTCAACACTGCTCACAGAGCGCCGGAAATACTCAGGACCGAGACGACTCAGCACCAGAAAAATGTAATTTTTTTTTATAACCGAATAAAAGTAATTTATTAAGGATTAAAAACTTAATTAGTCAATATAAAGTAAAAATATTCACTAATAAATGTTTTTTATCCTTAATAAATTACTTTTATTCAATTATAAAAAAAATTATATTTTTCTGGTGCTGAGTCGTCTCGGTCCTGAGTAGTCCCGTCGGCGGGATTGAGTTGGCGGTGTTGATTTGACCTGCATCTGAACCATTTACCACTGTAGATTAAATGAAGATTACTTGGTATATATAATTTTTTTCTTTCTTTTTTAGGCCACGAAGACTTGCTTCCCCGTGGGAGATTCACATCGATGAGTAAGTGTGTCTTCTCTTCAAATATAAATAAACGAGGGTATTATAACGGTTATTGACGGGCAAAGTGAAATTTCAAGCTCGAGTTCAAATTCCGGCAGATGTTGTTTCGTTCACCGAGCGATACTCGTCTCTCTTCCTCCAACTTCCAGAGAATGTAAATAAATCTAAAAGACATGTCTGTGTAGCCAATCAGTATTTGATTGCTTGATTAATTCGTTTTCTAGGTTTATTTGTCCGTTGTAGGTTATTAAAATCCAGAAAATATCTTGAGATTTGAATGATTTTTTTTTAAAATAATGGTGTAGTGATACACGACTTAAAAATTCGCCCATAGCTGGTGGAAGAAGACGTGAATTCATACCGTTCCCAAGGATACTTGCGCGTAAATGATCATAAAAAGCATAACCGGAATTGAAAGTCGGCTCTCCGATTGTTTTTTTTTTTTTTTTAAGGCTTATCATTATCCATTACACCACCCGCACATCCAAGCTTACAGTCGCCAAACGTCACCGATCGCCGTACTGACTAGGCTCAACGATACTGAACTTCGGTGATTGAGCGGGAAACGGTGTTTCAGCGTGATGCTTCAAGAGGCACACACAGGCACACACGCACACATACATATATCTATGTGATAATCTAAGGATCGTTTATAGGAAAGCGTTGGTAAATTTAACATGTTTCGTTTTTATTTTAAACTTCATTAGAATATCTTTTTTGGTGGGAATTAATCATTAAAGAGTAAGTTCCGGTATATTTGCTTAGGTCTTTGTATGCTTCATTCATCAGGTAGACCTCACTTGTCTTTTTCTTCTGGTGTTAATGTTGGTGTACACGTTTGGATTCTAGTGGGTATTTTTGGCGGACTGGTAGTGTCCTTGACTATAATGTCTTGTAGCATAATTTGATCGTAATTCATATATATATATATATATATATATATATATATATATATATATTGTGTCTGCGTATATATATATATATATATATATATATATATATATATATATATATATATTATATATATATTTATATATATATATATTAAGTAATTCATCGCGTCTAGAAGAAACCTCAACAGAATGCAGAAAACTCTGGACGGCCGTTTTGTTCTATATTTCGGACTCACCAGCAGTGCGCATCCACTACCGAGAATTGAAACCCGGTCAGCTATATTGACAGGCAAACATCATACCAACTGTACTAACGGGCCTAACGAAGAGGTAGCGAACTAGACTCGATACTGCGCCGCTCATTCACAAATTCCGTGGTGGAACTCATCCAAGTTCCTTTACCCATAGGACTGTGCCTCCGAGAGCCACAACTACTATCACCAAGCCGCTCCATCCAGAGCATTAGAAGCTGGTTCAAGCAAGGATATACAAATGATAGAAATTAAGGAGGATTTGAGATAATTAAGTAATTCATCGAGTCTAGAAGAAACCTCAACAGAATGCAGAAAGCACTGGACGGCCGTTTCGTCTTATATTTGGGACTCATCAGCAGAGCGCATGCACTTTGGGAGAATTGAAATCTGGTCAGCTACATTGACATATATATATATATATATATATATATATATATATATATATATATATATATATATATATATATATATAGAAATTAATAGATTTTAATCCTAATTCGACATAATTTCAGACGAATTATATGTAGGTGAGCTGACAAGTTCATAGGCTGAGTGTGTCGGTGTGATACGAGAGATGTGAAATCTTGAATGCCTTAATTCCAAGTCTATCATATTTTGTTTAGCGGTATATCAATTCCTTATGGGTCATTTAATACCAAAATTTAATTTTTTGGAAGCATTAGTAATTTCATTTACAAAAATGTATTGTTGGTAATATTTCTTTGCTATGAAAATGTATTGCTATTATTTTCACTATAGCATGTATTTTTATACTTTCATAGTGTTTTGACTCCAGTTTGGGCTTTAACTATTTGTCCATAGCGGGGATCTTAACAGGTACAACCACACCTGGTTAGGGTATACCTGGAAGCAACAGTACTTAAAAGGTAGTTCCACGTTCCTCAAAACCGTGGCTTTTATGATTAGAGGCCTTGCTGCCGGATGTAGTTTCAGCCGACCTTTGTATATAGAGGATGGCTGAAAAGTAATCCCCTATTTTATGTATGTTCAACTCTTCCGGCTTCTAAAAATTATAGTTAGACGGGAGAGTCTATTATATATATAATAGGGAGTTCCTTTTCAGTTATGCTGTATATTATTCACATTTATTTTAACCTTGATTTGATCTTTCATTTAAATGGATTTCTGATTATTTTGTTTTCCCTTGATATGTAGACAGAGAAAATATGCCTCTAAAGGGCCTGTCGACATCATGGAGTAATTCGACCTTTAGTTTATAATTACACGTAGTGATTTCACACACACACACACAATTCCAAAACAGTATTTGTCGGACATTCTGACATGAGTACACCAACTAGAAGGTGGCAAAACGTTTGTCTGTAGAAGCTTTTCCACTTTCTCGCATTCTCGTTCTCTCTTTTATTATTCTGTTTGTCATCGTGTTTAGCAAACTTCAATTGCCTTCAAAATTCCCTGTACGTGTTAAATTCTTCAAGACTTTTTCCCTATTAAGTGTTTTGAACATCTCAATTGAAACTTTCTCATTGTTATTAACGGTATCTTTGTTGTTGATATGGGGCATAGTTCGAATGAGAACTTCTTTAGGATTTACACATATATAAATACACACACAACGACATATATATATATATATATATATATATATATATATATATATACCTACCTAGTGAGCCAGACAAACCTACCTAGGTTTCACCTAAACGGATCGTCAGGGAAAGTTGTTTTTTTTTAGGTTGTTTTTGTTTTTTTGTTTTTTATTTTTTCACGTGGTATGATTTTAGCTATCACCTATAAATATGTGTGTTTCTCTTTGCCTCGTTAGCTAAACTTTCCCTGACGATCCGTTTAGGTGAAACCTAGGTAGGTTTGTCTGGCTCACTAGGTGTATCTAGGTCTGCTCTACGGTTGTATTGAGCTCTTTTGTTAGTTAGTGGTTACTCGTATCGGGGTTTTTTCTTTGGGCTTCAGACCTG